TCAACTCTGAGATGCAGGTACATCAAGCTGACGAGTCCCAAATAGGCCGGAACGCGCGTCTTGGATTCCACTGCTAGCCACTATCCATCTTTGCTTATCAATCAATTGTCTCAATCTTCACTGTTCCTTCTGTAACTATCAGTCCATCATCTCTGATTTTATTGTTCATACATTTTCATACCAACTACGTTCCGTTCTTTTCTTATCGATCTTCTGTTAAAATACATTCAATACACGACCATCATCATATAGTACTTATAGGGATATAAGTAACCCACACCACAATGTGAATGTCAGACAATATTTTATATATATGTTTGTAACTGGTATGTATCAAAAGTTTCAATTCACTTCAATATTGTTAATTTTTTTGAATATGTGTAATGAAATAGTACAGTATATGAAATCACATATCAGATAAAGTACAATACTTCTTTTGTATTTACGAAAAATATTTTACGCGCCACATAATATCGCACACCATTTGGTAACTGTACTGTTCATGTCATTATTAACTTTTTCTAAAAAAGAACTTTACTTATCCAGAAATTTCTTGTTAACAAATCACACATGCAAATTCAAGATCTTCACAAAACTCCCTTTTGATAATTCATTTATTTACAAAAGCTTATAAATCATATTTTCCCCCTTGTATTGACGAAAGTAAGAATTTTAAAAGAAATTCACTTTCTTTCTTTTTAACGTTACTGTTATATCGATTGAGTGCGTGCCCTGTTTAGTATATGATGTGACGATCCCCACCAATCAGAGAGAAGTGAATTATCGACCAAAGCGACTATACACGAAAAACTGCATGAACAGGCTTGAGCACTTATCAGCACTACTTTCTACCTAGCCCAGCCAGTTAAGTCCAGAACACCAATAACAGTCTCTGCAATATGAATCATTATTCTCATACATACTGGATTTATATACCAATCAAACAGACCACATCTTACCATAAAATAGAAAATAACATTTGTAGAAGATTTAGCTAAATGTGGCTGTGAATAGGGGGGAACAGTAATCAATAGTCTGGGGATAACTCAAGAATGGTGAATCTTATAATAATAGTTCATAGGTCAAAATAAAGCTTATAATAAGAGGAACATGAATATGAATAGTTTAGTTACTTAACAATTATACAATAGGAAATATACATACCATATTGGTCCATAAATAGTCTTCAAAAGTTACCACTCATAATTCTCCATGGGATACAACAGTTACCTCCTTTCTTGTGTCTGTTTTATAGTTTTACTTTTTTCAAATCTTAATGTTCAATAATCAGTAATGTTAGCGTTAAAACTATATATAGACATACTTTGGACGAAAAAAAACAACAACAGGAAAGCTGACAAATAATGAAAATTTTCAAACCATTGAAAACAATTCTAAATTATTGTCAGGACGTATATTTTACAAAGTCTATAATTAATACTAATGATGACACAATACTGGATCGATATATTAAGGAATTGTTTCGTTATTCACTTACTTATTCACTTACGCCAGTTACCCCTCGTGGAGGAGCATAGGCCGCACACCAGTATTCTACATTCAACCCTGTTCCAAGTAATCCTTTCCAGTTGTTATTCATCTTTTTCATATCTGTTTCTATTTCCAAAAGCAATGTGTTCTTTGGTCTTCCACTTTTCCGCTTCCCTTCAGCATTTCAAGTTACGGCTTGCATCGTGATGCCGTTTGGTGATTACCTCAATCCACTTCCATCCTCTTTTCCTAATTTTCTACTCAGCTGGAACCTGCTGGTTTGTCCTCTCCCATAAAACGCTGTTGCCAGCGTGAATGTTGAGCATTTTGCGTAGACAACTGTTTATAAATACTTGTACCTTCTTGACGATGGTACAAATATATATATATATATATATATATATATATATATATATATATATATATATATATATATATATGACTAATCTATTAAATAAATTGTTCTTGAAAAGATGGATTTGTATGCATCATTCATAGTGTTCTGATGATTTGCGATCAAATGTATTATTACTATTTTTAGCACTTATATATTAATATAGAAATATACATAATGTTAATAGTTAAAATAATTTGGACAATAAGTCAAGTTAAATTTTGTTTTGAAACAATATGTAGTTATACACGAAATTATTAATCAAATTGTTTAATAATTAAAAATCTAGTGAGAAGTAGTGACCAGTGGAGTTCAACTAGGTTTGTTGTCAGATAGTAATTCACTGAAGACGATTGGTGAATGATTGCTCAACTTCGTGGATCAGTTGAAGTTAGACATTAACACTGTTGGATGACGGCCGGCTCAGTGGTCTATCGGTTAAGGGCTTCGGCTCGAGACTGGTAGATCCTGGGTTCGAATCTCGCGAGAGCGGATTCGTGAATGCTCACTGCTGAGGAGTCCCATAATAGGACGAAACGGCCGTCCAGTGCTTCCAGGTTTTCTATGGTGGTCTAGCTTCAATTGACTCATGATTTCAACTTTGAAAAATATTGAAAGACCAAAGAAAAATGAACTGTTGTTTCATCTTAGTATAGGACTTTTCTTCAGTGGATATATTATATTTTATCAAAGATCGGATATCAAGAGCTTAAGATCTTGTGGTGAATAACTTATCGGTAGACTATTTAGACGCCACAACATCCTTATAGAAGACCACTTTGTATGAACAACAGTAGTATGATCATCAGTGGTTTACTTCCAAATAAGTTCTTTAAGTTTTGATGAGTAGTTGGGACCGATTGTGTTCACACACATGGGGGAGTAAAGTAATCGTCATCAGAGGATTTATATAATCATCATGCTATATTTAAAATTAATTAAAGCTAGAAATGTGTACTTTTGGATACCAACACCGTAATCTGATGGTTAAACACTTATCTTTAGGCCTGAAGATTCTAGGTTTGATTTTCATCAGGGTCGTGAATGGACTCTGCTAAGGACAACAATTTTTTTCCAGTGCTACATAGTTTTTATTGGTACTTCAGCCAAGCTGAGTGTATGAAGAGTAATACTTATAAATTAAAATAATTTTCATAAATTACTTCATCTAAAATAAATAATGACTGAACTAATTCATAATAAGATATTCGTCACTTTACAAAAAGGAATGGATTATGTTTATTTCTTTTTAGTTACTATATATTATAACTGCAGCTTCCAGCTGAATAGGAAATCAGGAAAGGACGTTGGAAGTGGATAGAACACACATTAAGAAAATCACCAATATGCATCACGAGGCAATCCCTAACTTGGATTAGTGAAGGGAAGCGGAAAAGTGGTAGGCCAAAGAACACATTACACCGGGAAATAGAAGCGCATATGAAAAGGATGAATGTTAACTGGAAAGAAGTGGGAAGGATTGGTTGGGACAGGGTTGGATGAAGACTGCTGATGTGCGGCCTATGCTCCTTCACGAGGGTAACAGGCGTAAGTAAGTAAATAATATTATAACTAATTGTATTCTTAATTTTGAGTGGTTGAACCTGGTTTTCATATTATCTGGTACTCATAAATGAAACATTTCTACAATATAAAAGAAATTCATATATCTTGTAAGTTCTAAATTTATGCCATGTAGTATCATCACTAAGATATTAGTCTTTGTAGTAGCGTTTGTGAGAATGAGAAGTTTATGTTGATTTCTGAGTACCAAACAACGTTCTGTTTATCGAATTTTTTTAGAAGTTACGAATTCGGTATATGTAAATGTGGATCTCATTCAGAGTTTCCTGAAAAACAATTAACAATAGCTAACATCTTATAGTTGAAATCATGAGTCAATTGATGCTAGATCACCATGGAAAACCTCGAAGCACTAGATGGCCGATTCATCCTATTGTGGGACTCCTAAGCAGTGCTCATTCACGTTCCTGCCTTGTGAGATTCGAACCCAAGAGTTATCGGTCTCGCTCGCGAGCACTTAATCGATAGACCATTGAGCCGACATCCAACGGTGTTATTTTCTAACTTCAACTAATCTGTGAAGTTGAGCAACCATTTCACCAATGTCTTCAATGAGTTGATATCTTTCAACAGACCTGGTTGAATTCCATGGGTTACTGCTGCTCACTAGAACTCCAGGAAATACCTCATGAAGTCAGTCACTAGTGAACATATGATTATTATCAGAAGAGATTGTTTGTGGAGATTTCAGTGGTTTTATAGTTGAAATCATGAGTCAATTGAAGCTAGATCACCACAGAAAACTTCGAAGCACTGGACAGTCGTTTCACCCTACTGTGGTACTCTTCAACAGTGCTCATCCACGATCCCTTCTCACGAGATTCGAACCTAGGACCTATCAACTAGAAAATTACTAAAATCTCCACAAATCCCCTTTCTGATAAAAACTAATATCATTATATAAAGAACCTTTGCAAAACAATATGATTCTTTATTTCAAGAAACAATATTAAATATACATAAAATCATCCTTAATATTCATTTATTAAATATTACGCAGTTCAATTTGTATCATAAAACCATATACAAGTGGATTAATCTAAATCATTAAAAAAAAATTCGATCCTCATGTGAATTTTAAAGTAAATTACCAATATTATATACCCGTTAAATATTTGGCCTAGTTTCTAACAGGCTTATATAACCTATAAATTTAGTTATCTTAGTTTTTTTTGACCTATCGATTTCTGATTGGTTAATTCTTTTTTAACCAATCAAATTTCGGTGTCCCAAAATTCTATTTTATAAATAGATTTTTTTTAAAAAAAAAAAGAAAAATTTTGTATTCGTAAAATTATGAAAAATATTTTTATTCATAAAAATGCAAATGAAAAGAATGAATGATTATAAGGAATTACAAAAGGAATTGCAAAATTTTCAATCAGGACATTTATAATGATAATATGAAAAGAATGAAAGTTAAGCATAATTAATATACTATTGATATATTTGATTACTTTCACTTTTGTTCCCTCACTCACTCATTCACTCACTCTCACTCACTCTCTCTCTCTCTCTCTTTCATGAAATAATGCCTTTTCGTCGACATGCTTATGATTTTATGTTGGATGATGGATTAGACACACGTATACCTGTGTATAGTGATGAAGTGTTTAAACAAGGTATTCATTTCTGTGCTAAGGTAAGTATTAATTTATTTTAGATATATTGAAAATAATAATAGATTTGATTGAATACAAGTATTAATAATAATAATAATAGTATTTCAATTCACTTAGTATTACTTGTTTGAATCTTCCCATTGATGCTTAAGACTGCAACTGGCCAGTTTTTTATTGTCATATGTGCAAACTATGCTTATTGCCTCGATATAGCCTAAATTCTTGAGCATTGTAATAATAGTATTTGTTAGTAAAATATACTTTATCAATATTATTCATATAATGGGTATAGAGATTGACTACAGTTAATTTATCATTGTAGGGTTGTGGAAATTGTTAATTATAGTTGAGATCATGGACCGATCAATGTTAGACCATCAATGAAAAAACCCCAGGAAGCATTGGATAGCCATTTCGTCCTATTATTGAACTCCTCAGGCGGGATTCGAACTCAGGACCTTCTTGACTGTGGATGCTCACTACTGAAAAGTCCCATACTAGGGAGAAACGACCATCCATTGCATTCAGGTCTTCAATGATAGTCTGATGTTGGTCGGTTCATGATCTTAATTAAAACACAGTTGATTTTTTTCATCATATAGAGGTTTACATTTATGAAAATATGAAGTGTTTCTTATTATTATTATCATTGTCTTAATGTCTTGGTATTACTCCATGATTTAGTAACGATGAATTATTAAACCATAAAATTTATAAATTCAATTGGCGTTATTTACTTAGGTGTTTCTTTTTGTCCCAGTTTTTACTCTGCTAATATATAGGATATAAAGATGTTGGGATTTATAATTATTGCACATATTTTGAAAGCCTTCTTTAAACCGGTTGCCTTTTATTACATTTGTATTATGATTATACTTAAAGTTGTATTTCCAGGCAAATGACTGTAATAAGCAAACATTCAAATCTTTGCAATGTTCACCCATTGAAATGATGATATTTAAGTATTAATATCAGACAGCTAATTATTTTAGTTTTCCCGGTTGATTGTATCCTCGATTTGTAGTTAAATATTGATCAGAAGGGGTTTTGTGGAGAATTTAGTAATTTCATAGTTGAAATCATGAGTCAATTGAGGCTAGACCACCATAGTGTGGGATCATGGATACGCACTGCTGATGAGTCCCATAATAGGACGAAACGGCCGTTCAGTGCTTCCGGGTTTTCCATTGGTGATCTAGCTTCAATTGACTCATGATTTCAACTATGAAAAAGTTAAATATTGAACATAAACTTATTCAAACAGTGATTTGATTTGATGATTGAAATAATAAAATAATCGAAAATATATTACAATCACTACTGTTAGAAGAAAAGCGATGACTTGAAAAATGACAATATTAGACTATAAAATAATCAGGTCGTGGACTCCAACCCTATTTCGTCTATTGAGATTTGTGCTGACAAACAGTCTGAAAAGATTTGAACTTTAGTCTTTCTTGGCTAATATGTTGAGTAAATATTACAAATGTTCTGCATAAGATTTCGCATATAACTTTTTTGAATATAATGATAGCAGTGTGAGAGTAGTTCTTTTGTATAACTAAAAATGATAAAACTGTTCGTATCTACTAATCCCTTTTGATATACATTTTAAGTTTTTAAGATTTTGAACATAACAAAGTTCGAACTAAATACATAGAATTGCTGGTCGGTTGCCTATGCTCCATTGGGAGCAACAGGCGTAAGTAAGTAAGTAAGTAAGTAAATACATAGAATATATTACGTTTATTAAACGAATACTCATACAATTGAGATGTTAATAACTCATTTATGAATGAATAGTGAAGTGGTTTTATATACTAGTGAGTTAGAATACTTCATTTCAATGCTTAAATACAGGGATTCCTTCAATCACAGTAAACTTAAAAACACTAACATATGGTTTATCATAAATCATATCTGATAAGGTATTTCATAACAGATTTGCAAATGTTTTCGTTCCACTATTATTATTTATATCTTAGGAGCAATATTAATGTTAGGAAGTAAATTGTTCACATTTTCAAAAGTAGCCAGCTGAAGGCAATAGTTACATAAATTAACTCATATAATTGGTAGTTTTGTGAAGATAAAATTTTGTCATGAAGGTAATGTGGTGAACAAGAACACAAGTGAGGACAATCAAATGTATTTGAATACAGAACATCTTAGAATCATACAGTATATATTTCATTTTTAAAATGTCAATTAATTGTCTCAGACTTAAGTGTTCTTTCGTTTCCACATCAATCATTCTTTGTTCTCGTTCTCTTTTCCTTGATCTTTTCAACCTTCTGCCTCCAGACATTTCACTTTCGATTGATGATATATATTACTTATATCTGTTGACACCAGTAACACACATCACAGTATTATTCGAAGATACTGACATAATGTATTCTACCATATAACTTCGATAGTTCATGACTATGTACGTGAACCAAGCACTCAGATGTAAGTGATTTGATTTCAGATTTCGACCTCTTATCAGTCATATCATTTCAAGTGAACATTTTTACATAGAAGAAACAAATATGACAACATTTGTTCAAAATCATCTTTCATACTACAAACATATATTGTAACAGTAACTGTGCTACTTTCTAAACAATGTTGGAAACTCTTTAACCATTTTTGTTCCTATCCTTTTCAAGCAAGGGCTTGTTGCCTGAGCATTAGATACTGACTATAACCTGATGTATATAAAGCATAAAATAAAAGAACACACCTTTTCTTTACTCATACTCTAAAAGATTTAAAAAAGGTAATCACAAAACCTGAAAACCGTAAGCAACTAATCACGCCTCCCCCGTCTGGATCTAACTGTAGTTCTGAGATCATAGTTTCCAATTCCTTTAAAGTTTCATACCAATAATAATAAACTTTTAAAAAATGTACCAATTTATTTCAAATTTTGTAAATTATATTAAAAAAACTAAAATTCAGTATGCATATCTATTATATCCAATCAGAACAAAATATAAATTTCATTAGATTATAACAACCATCCTACACCCAGTTTTGATTATGGTTAATTTTGGTTAAGCCCTTTGTAATAACTTACTTACAACTAGAAAGGATTGTCCAGAGGAGAGCTGGATGGAGAGTGCTGATGAGCCTCCTATGCTCCTCCATGATGGGTAGCAGATGTAAGTATGTGACTGATGACCTTGTCTAAAATTTTCTTTTATCCTAGGCACAAGTTATCGAAAAGTTCAGTATCTTGAATTGAATGTACTGCTATATATAAAAAAGTTAATGAAACCTTTCAAATCTTTTGCAATAAGAAAAATTTTTAAGTATCCTACCTGTTATAGCAACTATCCTACACCCAATTTCGATTATGGTTAATTATCGTTAAGCCCTTTTTAGTAACTGTCTTCACAGACATTGTCATTGGGATAGTAACAATTCTCATATATCTTAGTATTGTTATGATCACTAGAGCACATGATAGACTCTAGTCAAAACGTTGATTGCTTAAATATCATTCGATGATTCATACTCCCCCTACTGATACATATATATATATATGCACTCGAATCCTATTGTTAGCTTTTGCTTTGTCTTTCTGCGCCCTTATACAACTTGACTGTAAATTTGCCTATGTAATCGCTCGCGCTTGCTCACCGATACTTACTCATGTGCTTGTAGTTTTGTGGCCTGCGTTACTTGGTAATAAACTGTAGTTGAGTCTTCTCTTTACCTTCTGATTTCATGCATCATTGAGACTTATATAATAACGGTTATCGAGGTGAACGATTAGCATTGCACTACAAGATCCTTTCTTCTATATTTATTCATATTTACATATGGATACAATTTACATTATTTTCATCTTTTAATTCATTTGATTAATATAAATGAACAAAAATACTTTTATTAACTATCAAAAATTAATTTGAATTAGGGATCATTTCTATGCCGATATGACAGATATTAGTTACTTAATTACTTTCGCCTGTTACTCCCAATGGAGCATAGGCCGCCGACCAGCATTCTCCAACCCACTCTGTCCTGGGCCTTCTTTTCTAGTTCTATCCAGTTCTTGTTCATTATTCTCATGTCTGTCTCTATTTCTCGGCGTAATGTGTTCTTTGGTCTTCCTCTTCTCCTTTGACCTTCAGGATTCCATGTGAGGGCTTGTCTTGTGACACAATTAGGTGATTTCCTCAAGGTGTGCCCAATCCACTTCCAGCGCTTCTTCCTGATTTCTTCCTCCGCTGGAACCTGATTTGTTGTCTCCCACAGTAACTTATTGCTGATAGTATCTGGCCATCTGATCCGAAGTATCTTGCGTAGCGTTTTTTAGCGAGTTGATTTTCTTCGGGATGGGGTCGCTAACCCCATGCCCAACCCTCCTCCTTTACCCGGGCTTGGGACCGGCAGTAACCCCCAGAGGAGCTACAGGTGGAGTTGATATGACAGATATGTAATATGAATAATATACGATCAATCAAATAGGATGTTTGCAAGTATATATATTTTATTATTCCATGGGTCTCACTTAATATTTAGGTCTAGTATATAATAAATATAAACCTAAATCTAACCTTTACCATTATGATGATGGGAGCTGTTGTTTGAGTTAGTCAGTCAGTCAGTCAGCTACAACGTAGGACCAGGCGCACACATATGCATTGGTCCAAGTTGCCATACCTTGTTACCACAACAAGATGAATACCGTATTCATAGAAATAGTTAATTTAGTGGTGGTAGTATATAAAAGATAGGTTGTATATAGGGATATAGTATAGGAGTATTACAAACAGTATATATGTATACATACCTCATGTAATAACGCACTATTGAATAACATATCAATAATGTAGTATATTACATGTTAAAAATCTCTCTATATATATCTCACCAGTAATTCATTCATTTGTCAACAGTAAGTTTTCATGTGATCATAAACTGCTTATTTGAGAAGATAGTTTTAATTAACTATGAAAAAGATGTATACATCATCTATATTGCTACATTGATCACACGTAAATGTTACACTTTAGTTAATAAT